TATATGGATGTATGTATGTATGTATGTATGTATGTATGTATGTATTACATTATGTATTGTATTGTATTATATCATTGTTCGCTATTGTCTCGAAATTTTTTTTTACAACATTAAACATTTTAGTCGTACAGTGCATTTGCATGTTTGTTTGCGTGTGTGTCAAAGTGTGTGTGTGTGAGTTTTTCATTCGTTTGTTTATTCATTCATTCGTTCATTCATTTATTCACCCATCCATCCATCCATCTATCCATCCATCCATTCATCCATCCATCCATCCATCCATCCATCCATCCATTCATTCATTCATTCATTCATTCGTTCGTTTGTTTATTTATCCATCAATCAATCAAATCCAGACTGGAGGAAGAAGAAAGGTTGAAAAAGCAAAAAGAGAGAGAAGAGGCTTTGGAGAGGGAGAGAGAGATGGAAAGGATGCGATTGCAGGAAATGGAAAAAAAGAGGCAGCAGGAGAGAGAGGAAGAGGAACGAAGGAAGAAAATAGAGGAGGAGAGAAGAAGGAGAGAACACGAGGAAGTGAGTGCTTCGTTATGATGATGTTTATAATTACGATGATGTTATGTTGATAAATACGTTGTTGTAGTTGTTGATGATGATGATGACGACGACGACGATGATGATGATAATTATTATCATGATGATGATGATGATTTTTATTCATCCAACCAAACAGAAAGAAAGAATGGAAGAACGAGAAAGTAGATGAATTAAATTTTATGACAATAACAACGATAACAACGAAAACAACAACAAAACTGACATCTTTGCAGGAAAAAGATTGCAAAATGAAATCAGAAAACTGCAGGAGAGGAGGGAGGAATTGGAAGGAATGAAGGATGAACTGATGGCCAGACAAAAACTCCTAACTGATCAAAGAAACAATTTTAAAAACAACGGTAAAAATAGTGGTTAGTACATAAATATTATTACATATTCATGTTATATAGTATGATAATTAGCTTTGTTATTAGTATAATTCAGGAGTAGTAGCTGCAGCTGCAGCAATAGCAGTAGCAGCAGTAGTCGTAGTAGCAGTAGTAGTAGCAGTAGTAGTAGCAGCAGTAGTAGTTGTAGTAAGAGTAGTAGTACTAACCACAGTAGTACTAACCACAGTGGTAGCAACAGTAGTAGCAGCAGTTATAGCAGCCGTAATAGTAGTAGTAATTCAATTTAAAAATAACTTTAATTTAATCGAAAAGCCAAAGAAATTTGGAGGAAGAAATATTTGAATGAGAAAAAATCGACCAGCACTCTCGATGAACAGAACGGAAAACTGAAGAAGGAATTAAGTGCATTAAATAATAAAATAATAATAACAGCATCACAAAATATGTTTAATAATAATAATAATTCTAAAAATAATAATTTTATTTTTAATAATAATAAAAAGAATGATAATAATGTTAGTAGGAATGAGTGTAAAGAGAATCCGGAGTTAACTAATGAAGAAATTGTAAGTTTTGTCTGAAGATTTATTTTTCTAAACATGAATTTTTTAAAAAGTTTTTTGATCACCGTACTACTGATATTACATAACTAGCAAATTAATACTCAAGTTGTAAATGATCCACTAAAAATTGACCGAAAAGTTATCACTACGTATTCATGGATACATATAATATCATATCCATGTACGTATCGTTGTGTTATCATTATGACTATAGTTCGAATTTTTGTGGGCCAGATATAGTGAATGAAGCTGGTAGTTTTTTTAATAGATTCATCTAGCTCTTAATCTCCTTAGCATGGAAATATATGATTCGGAAATAAAAACCTGGATACATATTCATGGATAGAAAGTTCAAAGTTTTTGATTTAGTGTCATCAGTTGACTAAATATTAACCATTATCATTATGTATTGGTATATATATATAGAATATAACATATTATATTTTGTTATATTCTATATATATATATATATATATATATATTACTAATTTCGAAATATAGATCGATATTTTGGAATATGCCCCTGGTAGATTGAATTAAGCTGGTAGTTTTTTTTAACCAGATTCGTCTGGTAAATACAGTTGATGCAGTATTTTTTAAAAGTTGGTAAAACTCAGTTTTTGGTTAAAAATCGAAATCGACCAAAAATTGACGTGGTTCTAACTTTGGCCATACTAGTACAAATTTGGTTAGTTTCTTGCCTCCCAGTCAAATTTCAAAGTTTAAACATTTTTAAAATTTTGGCCCCTTGTCAAAATTGTCTAGATCTGCAACTGCGTATAAACAAATCAAGTAGATGAGTATATCTATGGGTATTTGTATAATTGCTTAACAGTTTAACCATTTAACAATTTCATTGTCTGATAGTCTGTTAAACAAACTTTAATTGTTCATTAATTTTTCGGCAGATTGACTGTTATAAACTGCAACATGAACTGTTTGAAACCAGTGACAAACTAGAAAACACAAAAATCAAGCTGATGGCTGAGATGAAGGTTACCACCTTTCGACATTTTAATGAAGCTAAAAATACGATTTATTGTATCGTCATCTGCCATTTTGACGATTTTAATTCTTTTCCAATTTAAATATCTAATTTTTCTCTTTCAAATTCAGCTGAGATTGCAAGTTGAGAAAGAAATCGGCTACATGCGAGGCGAAATTGAGAGCAAAAAGTCAAAATTGTCACACTTGAAGAAATATAAATCAGATATTTTACATTCAGAGTAATAAATTGAACGAAAAATTAATCTTGAAATGATCGATACAATTGAAGTGACTGTTAGGTGTTATTGCATTGAATAATAAAGTGATTGAAATGATTGAACTAGCAATTGTTTTTGCCGATTTTAAATTTAAATGCATAATGATGATGAGTTCATAAATAATGATGACGAAGATGATGATGATGATGTCATAGTTAACGACGATGATGAAACGAGATTACAGGCAAGTAGAAGTTTAACCATTTCATCATCTGACAGATCGGTGAATGACGTGATGATGTTGTTTGGGAGTTTTTCGCTGAATGGCAATCTAATTGTCAAAAAATAATAAAATGAATAAATAATAATGAAACAAAATATAAAAAATAATAAAAATATTAAAAATTAACAAATTTAAACAAATAGTAATCATATATATATATATATATATATATATATATATATATATATAAATTTTTAGTTAATTATTTTATTACAAATTCAACAAAATGACTGACTCACTCATTTTTAAAACATATAAATAAATTAAGTTTTTCTTCATTGGTCAATAGTTTTAACTGCTCCTCTTTAGATCTGACCAATAAAACAACTCCTTCCGTCAGCAGATTAATCTGATTGCTTAGGAGCACTGCAAAATTAGATTAATCCAGTTTAGTATTCTTCAACCCTTCACACCGATCATCAAAAAAAATGTTGCCATTAGTATAACGAAACAAAAGTCCAGACAGTGTTGCTAGTTGATCTAGAGCCAAATCAATAAGAACATTAGTGAGGAGCTTTAGAAGGCAGTACAAATACGGTTGACTGCATGAAAAGTGAATAAAGTATTTTACCATATCAAAGATAACTGAAGGCTACAGGAACTTTCAAGATAACAATGAGCATGTTGTTAGATTCTGTGATGGGAAATAAATCTATGTATCATCTTAATGAATGTTCATTTGTGTCACTACAATCGACTTTACTAATATTATACAAACTCTTCAGGCCTAAAAATTAATAACATTTAATAATAAATGAACAAACCAAATTAATCGTAACCAAATATTTTATTCTACCAATACCGACACTGTTGCTGGTGACATCTTTAGAATTTTTATATACCATTCCTTAGAATTTTTATAATTGTGGATCACTGATCCTGGATTGTTTGAGGATAAGGAATTTTAAAAATTTTTTAAAAAAACAGTGATGCTGAATGTTTCTGTCTTCCGCCCATTGGTCTGCCTCTCTTGCTCTGCATAACGATTTTCACCTATTTTGAAAAGGTGCCAGAATGAGTTTGAGAACCTGCTCAATAAAATTTCCGCTGGACGAATTATCGGTTGGAAACAGCAGCCAAACAACTTAACTTCTTCCAATTTATATTTTAGTTTTTTATTTTCTATTAAAAACTTTTATAAAACGTTTTACTTAGATTTAAATTTCGCAGCAACTCACGTAAGGGTAATAATAGCTGTCGTGTCGGTTAGTAATTAAACAAATGACAAACAAAACACACAGTAACGAGCAAAAAAACCGTCAAAATGTTCCAACTGAATAAGGAGATGATGTGAAGCGAGCGAGATGGGCCGCAGCATTTACATCCAACATACACGATGTCCTCCAGCGATTTCCGTTAAACACATCTGATCCTATGCACAGCCAGGAATATTTTTTTTATGTAGCAATCATTCGGACACACACACGCACGCACACATTACATTCTGTATTTATGACGACACATGACGTAGCTATAGTTATTGTAGTGCACGTAGGGTAAACTTTAATGCGAGTTTCTCAGTTACTACTTGGTTCTACGGAGTATTCTAATTTACAAAAATTTGTTTTTTTTTAATTTATTTTCAGCTTTTATTTGGTTTTTGCTTTATTTTAAGGTTTATAATAAATCATAATTCAAAATAATTCATAATTCAAAATTCAAAATTTATATTCCATAACTCAACTTTCAATTCAGGCAGTATGAAGCATGCCGGCTACCTCTGACGACACCAAACTGGACATGATCAAATCAGACCAACAGCTAATATGATAATAAAATCCATTCTCAGTTACGTGATGATAGCGTTCACTGTATAATGACATGTGGTACATACAACTGTTCTGATCTTACAATTATGTTTATGATGTTATTAATTATTATGCAGTTAATATTGTTATTTAATTATTATTAGATGACTTTGTTCAAGTAAGAGTAAGAGTAGTAAGAGTAGTTCTCATTAGATTGATTAATTAGCTAGGCGCAGACGATATGAAACTCGAAGGTTAATAATGCATATTTAATTTTGATTGAAGGTTAATAAACGATGACGTGTCAGTTGTTACTGAAACTTTGCTACGAAACATTTTCACGCTTTTATTCACCTCCTTATTGAATCTGTATTTTTTTTAGATTTTCTTCCTTCTAATTCATCCATGTCTATTTCTAAAACATGTCTATGTTGGTTTTCTTTTGATCTCTGTAATCGTTTTTCTTCTGTTCTCAATAATTTTACTTCTCTTCTCTACTCTTACTCTTAATTTCGGGGTACCTAAGGGTTCTATCCTTGGCCCTCTTCTATTTATACTCTATACCGCTAAACTACCTCGTATCATTAATAATTTTTCATTCACTGGTCAACTAAATGCTGATTATTCTTATATTTATGCTTCTTTTCCTCCATCTAATCTCAATAGTGTTCTTCACAATCTCTATGTCTTTCTTCAATTATCGCTTGGTCTGACTCTATGTGTCTTAAACTTAATCCTTCTAAACTTCCAGGGCTATCATCTACATGCTCACAGTGCAAGTAAATACACACAAAACAAGCATCACAGAAACATTGCATGGGAAAGACCCGGCTTCCTTCGTAATCAGCTGTATTGAAATGTATCGAAATGAGGGCAGACTTCAAATGCTATTTCTATCATACATATTTTATAAATTAATATATACATACATACAGCCAGTGCGAGTGTAGTTATTAAATAAGGAAATAACACTTTCAATTATTAATATTTAAAGTTTGTTTCCAATTAAAAAAACGAAATAAAATATATTATGGAAGGGTAGGGTATTTATGCAAATTTTGGCGGCAAAAAATAAAATTTAAATATTGTAAAAAATCATGATTTCATTCAATTATGCAACCGGTACGTATCACCCATTAAATGAATTTTAAGATAAATTTATACAAAAAAATAACCAACAAATAATGTGATAAATTGCGAAATGTCATGTGTATAAGTGTGTGTGTATGTATGTGTGTGTTTGTGTATGTATGAATGTATATCGGTATGTAGGTTTGTTTGTTTGTATGTATGTTTGTTTAAATGTGTGTGTGTGTGTGTGTGTGTGTGTGTGTGTGTGTGTGTGTGTGTGTGTGTGTGTGTGTGTGTGTAAGAGACAATATAACAATTTTAAAATAACTGAAACAACGAAACCACGCTGCAATTTATAGAGAAAACCACCATTAAAAAAATTGAAAACAGTTCGGAAGTTCCAATAAAAATAAGCTCAAGCAAAACAAAACAAAAAAAATTATTCATACAGAATTTTTTTTTAAACAAAGCAAGCGAGGAGTATGAAACGCAATTTAAAATTTCACAAACACATACAAACAAAGAAACTCACACAGGCATACAGACAGACACCCGAAAACACACACACACACACACAGGCAGCAGACAGTCTAAAGATAATTATTATTTATAACTGTTAAACGGTGATGAAATAGAACAGCGTGAATAACCTTGCATTATACATCATCATTGCATATCATCACCACATACACATACGTAAACACACATACAAACACACTCACACACACAAAACAATACACCCATCCTATTTCATCATTCATACTAAAATAAACCTTTAGACATATGATGGACTTTGTTAACTGCAAAAGTAAACTTAAACATTTTTGCCTAAGTTCTCTCTCTTTCTCTCCTTCTCTCTCCCTCTCCTCTCTCTCTCTCTTTCTTTAATAGTAGTAGTAGCTTAGTAATAATACTAGTTTTTAACACCCAAACTGATGGCTTTATTAAATATATTTTAAACTATTACTTTACTACTACTACTGCTGCTACTACTGCTGCTACTACTACTACTGTTGCTGCTGCTGCTACTACTTCTACTACAATTAATACCACTACCACTACTAATGTTACTGTTACCGTTACCACTTGCTACTACTACCAGTTTTACCATAGAAGATAATGATAATAATAAAAATAATAATAAAAAAAACAAACAATGTCTCTGTAGCAAAAGCAAGCAAAAAACGCATTTTATAATATTAACAACTGTGTTAGAAATGTATGTATATATACATACACATACTTGTATATATATACAATTATATATATTTATAAACACTAATATATATTATTATTATTATTATTATTATTATTATTATTATTATTATTATTATTACTGTCATTGTTGATATTAAAATCGTAGTTAGAATGGTGAATACGTGAGAAGAAAATTTCGTTGAAACTGTTCATATTAGCGGAAAATAATAATAATAATAATAAAAATAATAATAATAGCAATAGATAAACCAATAAAATAATAATCACACTTGAAAACGTTGAACAATAAACAAGTCATTGAAAAAGTCAGAGAAGAATAATCACCGTTATTATATTTTTATATGCATGAATGTTTGTTTGTATGTCGGTTTGTATGTACATATGCTTGTGTATGTTTGTATGAGTGTGTATGTTTGTGCGTTTGTATGTACGTACGTTTGTATACATGATTTATTGCATGCACAAAAGTAAAATTACGTGTTAATTTTATATACCCGTCGGTTAACATGAGTGACGTCTGTTAAATCGTTTGTTTGTGTATGTGTATTTGTGAACGTAGGTCTGTGTATGTATATATGTTTGTACGTATGTGTGTGTAAATATGTTTGTACGTATGTTTGTGTGGATGTCACATAAATATACAAAATTAAATTATAAGATGAAAACAGTTGAATAGAATATGGTAGGATGGCTGATTGATTGATTGACTGATTGATTGATTGATAAAAACACGGTTAACTGATTGACAGATTGCAAGTGACTGGTTGAAATAATGAATAACAGTTGGTAAAAAAATATGTAGAGGTACTTCAATTTACATGGATAGCATTTTATAGCATTGCATTTATACATACATAGGCGACATTAGCAGCAATCAAATATAGTTAAAAACGATTAAATATATAAAATCAAATGAAACCCAAAACGCAAAATAGATTCAAAATCCCATTATAAAATCATCTACTCAAATAAAGCGCCTCATCAATCAAATCCTCAAAATTGATCTTCGACTGGCTGGGGTCGGATTTGGACTTTTTGAGAACACTCTTAAGGACGATGCCATTTTTCTGAACGACTTGATCGCCGTGGATGATCTCAATATCGCAATTGTTAGCGAATCTCGTGACCGTTACGCCATCATCATCATCATTATTATTATTATTATTATTATTATTATTATTATTATTATTGTTGTTGTTATCGTCGTCGTCATCATCGTCGCCATTTTTGAAAATTTTGTGACGAACCGTCGGCCAAGAAATGGAGTGAACGAATTGTGGCTTTGTGGTGCGGAAGATTCCTTTGTCGATTGTGATGTTCAAGTCTTTGTTGTAGGTGTCGCCGTCGACGTCATCGCTATCTACTTCCTCTTCCTGGTAACTGTTTTTGGTGATGACGTTTTTATCATATTTTTCACCACCATCGTCGTCGTTGGTTTCGCTATTTTTGGAATCATCATTATCACCGGCGTTTTTAGTGCAGTTGTCATCATCGCCATTATTTTTCCTGACGTCATCATCACCATTCTTTATAACATCACTGTTATCATTTATCTTTCCACCGCTATTGTTGCCATTGTGGCTGCCACTGCCGCTGCCACAAATAATATTTTCAAATTCACCAGGTTTTTCCTCAATCAATTCCAGAACTTTCTTTCCCACATTTGCAGCAACACTATCACCATTAACGGAACCACCACCCCCGCCACCACTACCAACGACATCATTCTTTCTTTCATCACCACCATCAGCATGATTATCATCATCTTCATCCTTCAACTTTTCAACGTGGCAGTACGGTTTGGTGAGCTCTAAAGTGCATTTCTTATCAAACTCGATGATTAGGACATCACTGTTGAAGCTTGTCCGACGTTCTCTGGGGGTCATTCTTCGATCGTCGTTTACTGACATGCTCTGTGGGGGCAGGGTAGTCATATAAGAGGTAACCAAAAGTTTTTGGTAAGTTTTATAAAGAAAAAATTGATTCTAGGAAAGAAAATTTTACTTTAATGAAAACACACAAAAATTAATAACACAACAAAGTATTCCAAACAAAAGTACAAACAAATAATAATGCAAACAAAAGGTACGAACATGCTTCAAAGGTGGTCTGCTGGTTGCATCATGAGCTGAACTTGACTGATACAACTGCTGTTGGTGTGGATGTTGTCGATGATATTCAGAGCAATAGTGATCATACTCATTATATGAAACTGATCTTGTCCTTAATCTCGATCGTTTGATGGATAGGGATGTGCTCGTTCTAACTTTTTCCACATGGTGATCATCTTTTGCTCTGAGTTTCATTCCTCCATCTTGTTGGCTGTTGTGAGTAGCTTGGTGTTTGAAGAAGTTTGCTAATTTTTTAAAAGGTGATTTTTTATTGTCTGCCTCTGTCTGCAAGCTGTTGGTAGAATTGACTAAAATGCCTGGAACTCCATCATCTGAAAGCTTTGGCATCTTGTTCAATTTCTTTTGTTGTTTTGTTGGGGATGAAACTTTAAAATAGGAAAATACAGTCTGGATCTCACCGGGACTATCACACCTTTCATTTTAAAAGGTTAATTAAATTAAAAATATTAAATAAATCTAAATCACAACGTGTTTTAAAACGCACTTCTTGGAAGATTCTTTGAAAGCAACGTCCATAAAACTAAAAAACATCTTTAAAATTAGCCAGCAAATAAGTCAGATTGGGACCTAAAAAATAAGAAAATTGAAATTGTCAAACAATAACAATTTTAAATTTTTCAATACAAGTTCAGTTCCCGTTTTCAGCCAAATTACTTTTATTTCCAAATATCTAAATACCGAGTAAACTTTTGTCCCAAAAATTAAACAAATCCTATAGAAAATTGTTTAATTTGGAAATTTAAACTAAAATGTCTAACTGTCACTAGCTTGAAAATGAAATTTGATCATCGAAATTACGCACATTGTGGTGTCTCGGAAAAATTCACCATGGTTATTCAATATTAAAAAATATTACAGGGAAGAGAGCCAAGAAGCACTTTATATTATATAAAAAATTATTTAAATATAAAAATGTTTTATTTTATAATTATTAAATTTAAATAAGCTAATTATTTATCAAGCAAATTAGAAAAATTTTGAGTTTATCAAATAAAACTAAAATTTACTTTTAAACAAATATCTGGCGCATGTTTTAGTCCCGGTGTTGAGGTGCGGCGTGGATTTTTGAATTAAAATCCGTGTTTTATCCTATTTTTTACCATAATTTATTCGTGTTTTTATTCGTTAAACTATTTATTTTGATGAAATTTGTCTGACGGCTTTTAATATTGTCATCGCCATGGCTAAAACCTCCCCAAAGACTCGGCCTCCATCCAAATCACCAGTTGTTAGCTATTATTTTTTAATGTTTTTTCCATTCATATTGCAGATATTGCGTTTTCATTTTATTAATTTATTTTATTGAATAATTTACTATTTAGTAAAATAACTCATCTAAAAACAACTTGCGTTACTAAAAAATTACGTTTTTTAAGATACTTTCAAAATTTTAATCCTAAGAATGGTAATCTGGCAAAATCTCCCAAAATAAAAACTCAGAAGACTCAGCTTCCCTCACCATCAATCAGGGGAAGAGGAAGACCAAAGAAATCAGATTTTCAATCAGAGTTAGAGACCCCAAAATCTTTTCAAGATGTCAAGATAGAGGAAAGAAAAAGCAAAGGAAGCAGTCTGAAAAAATTCAAGGTAAAATAAATTTACTTTTAGTTTGTTCAATTTTATTTTTTATATTATTTTGCATTATCAAATTACTTGAAAAATGTTTACATGTTATAATAAAATAGAAAATATTTTCTATTCAGGAGAAATTGTTAGGCAGTGGGGACAGTATTGATAATAAGAATAAAGTGAAAAAAATGAGGAAAAGTTTATCAAAGGCCCTGAACAACTCAATAATGAGTGACGAAGATGTTGGTTCATCTGCTGTCCCAATTAAAAGAAAGGCCAGGCAGTCCTTGCTTCTTGGTGTTAATCTCTCGTCAAAAGGTTTATTTTTATAGAAATATAAAAAATTTCTAGATCATTGTAAATTTTTTTTAGAGAAGTGATTTTTAATAATTATAGGAAAAGTTCAGTTTGAGTAATTTCAATGAATGAATTTTAAAAAATCTTTATCTTCTTTGGTTTCTGTTTAAAAAGTAATTTTTCACAAAATTTTGAATCTTCTAGAATTCATCAACTCGAAAACATTGAAAGACTCTAAATCAAGTTTAAGAGTGTTGTTGGGTAAAGTTCAAAGAAAGAAGAAGCAATCAAACTCTGAAACTGATGTCAGCAGTTATGGAAAGCCGCCAAAGAGACCCAAGCTCGACATTCCCAATTGGGCTTTCCCAAAAACTTCACCTGTAACTGTTGTATTTCATCTATTCTATTTTAAAATTTATTACTGTATTCTTGCTTTAAGACATTGTTTTATCATTAAACCTATATCCTATATGTTTTATCATCATTTTCAATTTTCTCATGTTAAAATTAATATACCCATACTAGCCATTCGATAAATTCTTCTTGTAACACGTCATTTTCACTAAACAGAAAGCAGAATTGAGCAAGAACGTCGGTGGATGTGGCGTGAAGACAGCACCAAAGACTGTAAAATCATCCAAAAAACCACCAGCAGTTCCTATAACAACATCCAAGCAACAAAAACCGCCAACAACACTTCTGCGGTCATCATCAACAACATCGAGTGCCTGGACCCGCCCACTCAACGAGGAAAGACTGGGCGACAGTTATTTGGAGGGTAGCAAGATCTTTGACTACCTCATCCAGCCAGTGACCTCTGTGAAGTTCTTCAGGGATATCTGGGAAAAGAAACCCCTGCTAGTTCGAAGGCACAACCCTGATTATAACAAGGCCCTCTTCAGCACTTCGGAATTTGATAAGATCCTCAGAGATGTATTTTGAAAAATTTTGACTAATCTGTCTATTGATACTTTTTTCTTTCATAAGTTTTTAAAATGTTTTACTATATTTATATCTATTTTTTATGTTTATATATAAAGAAGGATGGAGAGAGAGAGAGAGACAGAGATGAGAGAGAGAAATCATCAAAAATATTTAAATATTTACTATTATGTATTTTTAGGATTGTACATGTATATTTAGCTGCTGATGTAGTGTATGCTCAATGTCAAATACATTTTTTTATATTAGCCTCTATTTAATACTTACATATATACAAACAAACAGACATACAAACATACATACAAACAGACATACATGCATGCATACGTACATACATACATACATACATACATACATACATACAATGCAAAAGAACTCCTTAAACTTCACGGAGAACATTGACATTGTGACCTACCTGAATGAACAAAGGGAAACACACAACCCAGATGGCCGAGCCCATGCTCCTGTTGTTTGGGATTTCTATCAGGTTTGGTTCTCACACACATTCATACTTACATACATACAGACAAACAAACATACATACACACACATACATTATCACATTCATACATACACACATACATACAAACATGTATTCATACTTGCATACATACATTCATACACACAAACATACATAATTACATACACATACATACATACCAACAAACAAACATACATACATAAATACATATGCAGCAAGGTTGTTCAGTAAGATTGTTGAATCCTCAAACATACAGCAAGCCAATCTGGTTTGTGCTCAGTCTTCTCCAGGAATTTTTTTGCTGCATGGCTGGTGCTAACGTGTATGTTATTTTTGTCATTTTCTCTCTCTCTCTCTCTCTCTCTCTCTCTCTCTCTCTCTCTTTTTCTTTCTCTCACTTTATTTTGTATGTTTCTATCTCTATCTAACTAGGTTGCCAATATTCATATTTAATGCATCTACTTTGATTACAGTTTTTATAAATCTGGCTTATGAACTCTCTGCCTAAAAGTCCAAACATTCATTCACTAAAGTTACTAATTACATTCGATCTTATTCTTGACCTTTGACCTAGATATTTGACCCCGCCCGGTACGCAGGGGTTCGCCCCACATTGGGATGACATTGAGGCCTTCATACTCCAAGTGGAGGGAAAAAAACATTGGCAGGTTTATGAACCGAGGTAATACACTGTTTGTGTGTTTTTTTGTTTGCTTGTTTGTGTGTGTGTGTGTTTGTCTATTATAATTAATATAATTATTACTACTTGTATTATAAGCTTGTATTAATATTATTTTATTAAGGAATGAATCAGAAGTTCTACCGAGGTTTTCAAGTCGTCAGTGTCAAATATTTTTTCTATTTGTATTATTTTTATTCTTTCAATTTTCACTAAATTATTATTATTATTTATCATTACTATTATTTTTTTGTTTCTACGTTTTATTTTTCTTTGCAGCGAATTTCAAGTCAGCTGATTTGTCAGAGCCAGTGCTTGATGTAATGCTAGAAGCCGGTGATTTGTTGTACTTCCCAAGAGGTTTCATTCATCAGGTTGGCTGATTGGTTGATTGATTGATTGGTTGGTTGGCTGATTGGTTGGTTAATTGATTGATTGATTGATTGATTGATTGATTGATTGATTGATTGATTGATTGATTGATACATGAATTGCCCAGGGAAAAACTCCAGACGACAGTCACTCACTGCATATCACATTTTCTGTGGGACAGAGGAATACATGGGGAGATTTGATACAAAAAGTTTGTCTGACATGCTTGTTCCCATTCGTTCACTCCCTCATTCGCTCACTCATTCATTCACTCATTTACTTATTTATACACTCACCTATTTATTCATTCATTCATTCAGGGTTGATTGATTCAATTTTTGATTCATATGTTAGATTTTTAGGGGTTATAACTCGATGGACTATCTCTCAATCATTTAATTATGAGATCAATTAAATCAAACATTCAATCAGATGTATGGCACACACACATACGCGCGCGCACAAACACACAACATTACACACGCGCGCGCACAAACACACACACACACACTTAATTGATTCAGTCAAAGGCAAAATTTAAATATCAGCCATTCTTACAAATCTCGACAACAGATGCTACCGAGAGCAGTTGAGATAGCAATGGAGGAGGATGTGGATTTCAGGACGTCATTGCCTACTAACTATCTCAACTATATGGGCATGGCCTTTTCAGATTATGTCGGGGATTATTTTATTATTATTGTTGTTGTTATTGTTGTTGTTGTTATTATTTTTGTTGTTGTTGTTATTATTTTTGTTGTGGTTGTTATTATTTTTGTTGTTCTTTCACAGGAAACAGAGAGCAGGAAAAGGTTCACGGACAAGTTGAAAACTTTGATTGATCGGTTGTGGAGCTACTGCCCTATCGACCCGGCCGTCGATCAGCTGGGCGTGGCCTATCTCAAGTCATCTTTACCTCCATGTCTTACTGAATGTACGTTTCCCTTTCTCTCTCTCTCTTTCTCTCCATCTCTTTCTTTCTCGAAGTTTCTTCTCTCATTTTTTTCCATTTATTATTATTATAGCTACTATTATATTTATTTGTTGATTTAAATGTCTCTTTCCTTCTTTCAAAATAAAGATGAGAAAGAGTGCAGTGTTTTTGGAAATGGTGAGAGATGGAGCGAAAGCAAGGGTACTGTGATGAAAGCCTGCGAGATAGAACCTGACACTGAGATAAGGATAATTAGGAGAGGATCTGTTAGGTTGGTTGGCTGGCTGGCCGGTTGGTTGGTTGGCTGGCCGGTTGTTTGGTTGGTTGATTGATTGACCAGACTGGCTAGTTGATAGATGGAATGTTCAAGTTAGTTGAATGGTTGATTGGTTGATTAGATTAGTCGGATTAACGATTGATTCGACTTGATTACTGACTCACCGATTACTGACTCAACTCCTCATCAAACACAACCACCACACTGATATAACCGATCACACATCACCAATGACAGACTTGTATCAGAAGAGACAGTCAGTGTGTACCACAATTTAGAGAACGCTCGTGTCTACGAAGGGTCGGAGTCCAAATGTATTGAGGTCGAACACGAGGTCAGCTGTTATAATTTTTATAATTAATTGTAATTATTTGTAATTGATTAGTAATTATTCATAATTAATTAGTAATTGTTCCAATTTTTGGTAAATTTTTTTCATTTACATACGCATTAATTGCACTGCTCCGTTTCCATTGTTATTATTGTTGATGGTACTAATACTACCATTACTGCTGCTGCATCTGCCACTACTGCTAGTATTATTACTACTGTTGCTGTTGACGCTTCTACTACTACTACTGCTACTACTACTAATACTTTTACTATTACTATTACTGCTGGACTACTACTGCTACTTATGTTATTTGCACTTCTATTACTATTCTTACTAAGACTTTTAATTCAAGTTTATGTTTATAGCTGTTACAATTGCTGCTATTGTTATCATTTTTACTACTTTTTATGATACTATTTCTTTTATCATCATCATCATTATTATTATTATTATTATTATTATTCTTGATACTCATTTTTTAGGAAGCTGAAGTAATTGAGTTCCTCTTGAATAAATACCCGGAGTTTGTGCTGGTCGAGGAGTTGCCTATACAGGATCTGGAAAAACAAGTTAGTTGATTGGTTGGCTGAATGATGGATTGATTGACTGGCTGGCAGGTTGATTGATTGGTTGGATGGCTGGCTGGTTTGGTTGGTTTATCGGTCGATTAATTGATTGACAGTTTAAATGGATGGACAGACAGTGGTGCTGATATATTCATTTACTCAATAATTCATCAACTTGTTTAATTTTATAACCAGATGGCACTGGCTCAACTCCTCTACAACAGAGGTCTCATTGCCACAAAATCACCAATCACATCACTCGATGGTGACGACGACGATGATGATGGAGAGGATGGTGATGATGACAGCGACGACGCTTGTTGTGATTGCAACCATGTAAACGATGATGATGAAGATGATGATGGTGCGGTCTAAGAATTGATTGATTTCTGACGCGAAACCTGTAATTAATAATTCATACAACTTCTTTATCAGTTCTACTTTCTTGTGTTTCATTTATTTATTCGATGGATTTGGTTGTTTTAAATTTTTAACATTCGTTTTTGTTAAGTTTTATTGAATTTTCATTCATCTAGGAGCTAGGTTACTTGCACCGCTGATGGTGAATTGCTCGTTTGGATTATGTGCTACTGCTTGTTTCTCTTAAAATTTGATTAAATGATTAGATTTGTTTGAATTATTGATTGATCGATCGGTTGGTTGGTTGGTTGGTTAGTTGGTTAGTTGATTAATTAATATGCAATGTTTGATCATTTCAATAGTTTAACTTGTGAATTCGGGTATTTATTAATAAAAGGAAATTATAGATATTTTTCGTTTATTTCGTTTATTATTTTTATTTTTCAATATAGCATGTCTAACTCGTTTAATGCATTTCTTGTCCGCGAATTTTCATTAAAAATTTTCACATTTAAAAATTCGTGGGTCGAATCGTACGCCGAGTCGGATCGAGTTTCCGTTAGAACTTCGTCGGGTATCGATTCTTCGTATTCGGTAAATGTAGCAGGACTGTCCTGACAGTGTTGGTAGTCGGATATTAGATCGTTTAAGCTCATCTCTGCTTCGATAAATTCCGATTCTTCCATCCCTTCGGCCATGTACCAGTGTAGGAAGGCTTTTCTTCGGTGCATCATCGAGTACTGGTCTACAACTCGTTTGAATAACTCCTAGAGATGTGATTGTGTTGTATGTTGCCAGGGGCAAATCTAAACAACTTTGACCGGGGGCAAAGGTTTAAAAATTTTTACAAGTTTGGCTAAAATTAGGCCAGTGATTTTTTTGGGTTACTCACGTCAATTTTTGGTCGTTTTTTGACTAAAAACAGAGCTTTACTGAATTGTAAAAAAATTGGGTTTTCCATACCAAATCCTACATTTTCATGCTCAGGAGATTGAGTACTACATGAAACTAGCGACAAACTACGAGCTTAATTCACTAATTCAACGCCACATTCACAGAAATCTGGCGCCACATTTACGTACTTTAGTACGTAAAAATGGTCCCCTCGGCTCCCCTGCCCCTTAAATCCGCCACTGTTTGTAGTATATGTGGATGTGTGTTAACGTACGTACGCTCACCATTTTTGATGTGTGGGTGTGCATGTGTGTTTTGAACGCTTTTGTAACTTGCAGCGATCAGCAAATGATAACTCGCGAAATAAATTCAGCATGAACCTGTATGCAGGTGTTGTTGGCGATAAAAGTTGCGGCAGTTTTCAGACCCTTCGGTGGTATGTCACAGAGGGACGTTTGGATGTTGTTCGGTAGCCACTCAACGAAATATGAACTGTTCTTACTCTGGACGTTCAACATGTGCTCGTCAACTTCTTTCGCCGAAGCCACTCCTCGAAACATGGCAGCCACTGTTAGATACCTGTGTGTTTCAGTGTTCGTTTGTTCGATCCAGTAGTTAATGATGTTGCTGCTTTGGTTTTCGTTTGCCACACATCCAGCCAGCATTTACAGATCCAACTCCAACCTGCCATGCTTCGGATCACAAGCAGCCATTAAATTCTTCGCATCAAACATCTGATGGACGAGATTTGCAATCTTTATCGAACGAAAACTCTGGCTGCCGCTACTCGTTAGCGGCGCGAATCCTGGAAGAAAGAAATGTAGACGCGGAAATGGAACCATGTTGACTGCAAGCTTACGCAGATCTGAGTTTAGCTGAATAAAAATGAGGACATGAAAATTTGTTATAAATTAATTGAAATGACATTTATCCTAATCTAAAAAAAGAAAATGCGTTTGTTTTACATTCATGCACGTAACCTGGCCAGGAAACCTGAGAGATGTAGTGACTCCACTCATGGTCAGTGAGACCAAGTGATTAAGGTCGGCGTACGTTGGGTTTGCAAGTCGTAACGTTCGGAAGCAGATGTCGTAGAGAGCCTCGTTGTCGATGCAGAATGTTTCGTCCGTGTTCTCCGTCAGGTGGTACAAGGCCATCACGCAGTTGTACGGTTCAACGACCGTGTCTGACACCTGGTGTTTGTTAATAGCAATCGAAATTGGGAGTTCCATAAAATGTAATACTCAAGAATGTTCATCTAAACAATTTAATCACTTTTCATTTTTGAAAAATTTTATTGACGACATCATTAACAAGAACAAAAGTATCGATGATAAATGACAAATCTAACTTTAGGTGATGGAAGTACGGAGAAGGAGGAAGCAATTCTATCCGGGTACTCATCGTTTACTCTATTCAACAAAAGCGTTCCCATACCTGATCCTGTTCCTCCGCCAAGAGAGTGCGTCATCTGTATCCCTTGCAACAGATCCGTCATCTCCGCTTCCCTTCTCAAAGCGTCCATCACGATTTCTACAATCTCCGACCCCTCGGCAAAATAACCTTTGGCCCAGTTGTTGCTTGCCCCCGTCTGACCTAGTATTTTAAATTGGCTATTTTTTTCAGAAAGTATTATAAACCCATGGTGAGTTTATAATTTTTTCGAATAGCTCTCAAGAAAGCCTGGATATTTTTGCATTTTTTAACTGTAAGATGTGCAGTTGAACGTGAAACGCACTGACTACATTGTAAAAATCGCCATCATGTAGTATTTCAAGCTTATCTACGTATCTCAAAACCAGAGCAACGTATAAAGATGACGAAATAAAAATGTGTGTATGCAGTACAGGGGAAAATAAGGCAAATGTAATCAAACAAACCGACCGAAAACCAAATTTTCAGGTTTGAACATATTTCCAAGGGCTGATGCTCTTATCGTGTCTATCGTTCCTGGCTCCGTGTCAACGAGGATTGAGCGTGGGTAGTATCGGGAACCTTTGGGAATGGGAATTTCATACATTATTTTTTGTAGGTTATATGTGACAGTAATTTTGCCTCTGATAGAAATATGTGTTTGTATTATTATTTGGTTACAATTAATCATTTACATACAGTAAGAACATGGCTTTGATGTGTTATTCAATACAGAAAACATTGAACATTTCTAATAATCAGTTGAAGATTGAATAAATTCTCAAATAAACCTGTCCCTTCGTTGAAATAAACGTTCAACCTCTCAGCCATTATTTCATTCTGCCCCTTATAGATGCCATTGTAATCTAGACCATGTTCATCAGTTATCACTTCCCAAAACTGTTAACGGAACGTTTCGAACGTTATAGGATAGATAATCATGATCAAACTTTTTAAAAATGTTCCTTACTATGTCTTATATTTTATGTTACTGAGTATTTGAATGTAAAGCATTCTCTACAAATGTTTGACCCACGACTGAACTCTAACCTTTGACCCGATTTGATTGCCACACTGTCCTACTTGAAGGTTAATTATTTCCCTCATGATGGAGGGATTAACTTGTATGTTTTATCAGTTGAAATAACAGTTTAAGATATATTTTTCATTAATTAGCCAATTAATCCACTATTTAATTACTTATTTAATTAATTGGTTGGTGTTTAGTGAATAATTTGATCTTGAAAATCCTTTTCGAGGATGATTTTAATAGCCGATGGTGTTTGAGATAACAATTAACGATGAAGTTAACAGCAAAGGTTTTAACTAATTGGTTGATTAATTAATGAATTATTAGGATGGCCAACAATAATAATTGATAGTAACGCTAAATAACATAAGTTCTTAATAAAATACTGGTGGTATTATTATTGTGTGTGTTCTTTCTAAAAATATGTTTAACTGAAACGTCATTGTTTGGTTTTGGGCAAAATAATGCATATTTTAGCAACATTTTAACAAATATATTATTTTTATATATACATGCTCTATTCTATATATATATATGATATCTATATTTTATTATAGAAATCGAGTTATTATAAGATTGGGAACTCTTTAACAAATACCATATATTTAATATGTACATAATATTCAATTATATATATATATATATATCTGTATACCTATTTATAGAATAAATAATATATATATACCTGAAAATACCTGGTATTTTATATATGTGGGTATGGGTGTCTTTGTATGTGTGTTTGTGTCTGTGTATGGATGTAATCAAGGTGTCCGTCCATACAATTATTACCATCCATCCTTTTTCTATTTCTTTAAAAGTAAATGTGTACAACAACTTCGTGATTTTTCGCTCCTTAATTAACTTTTTCGTACTTTTTATTTTTAGTTAGAGTTATGCTTTATAGTTTTTTACTGGCTATTTTTATGTTTTTGTTTATTTTTGTTTATTTTATTAAATTATTTTTGTTTAAATTTCCGAAGAAATTCCATTTCCCAGGTTCTCATGTCCTGGTTAGAAATTTAAAATTAAAATTTTAATTTTAAAGTTAATTTAAGTTTAGTTATTTAGTTAGTGGCAAAACAAATTTTTGAAATTTTTATAAAATTTAATTTAAATTTTATTTTATTCCCATATTTGTGTATTTGCATAGATAACAGGAGGTTCAAGTGGGATTGGCCGATCCTTAGCTGAGCAAGCTTTCAAATTAGGAGCTAATGTCACATTGTTAGCTAGAGATGTTGTTAGTAGTTAAATTATTTCATGTTCACTTAATTTAATTTTAAATATTATTATTATTATTATATTTATTATTTTTCATTATATTTATTATTTTTCACTATAAAATCATCAATATTGAAAATTTAATAATTTCAAGAAAAAATTAGCAGAAACCCAAAAATATTTACTGGAACATTCCAAGACAAATAAAAAGGTTTGAACTCTTGTATATGCACACCTATATATACCACACGCACACATTCCCACACACACACATTCCCACTCACACACACATGCACACATTTTAATAATGATGAGAAGCTGATGATGGTGATATGTATAATAATGATTGATGATGATATGACAGAACACAGTGCAGTATTTTTCAGTTGACATCAGCAGAAATTATGACGAAGTAAATGATATCATTAAACAGGTTATCATTATTATTGTTATAATTATTGTTATAATTAAAATAATTATTATTTTTATTATTGTTATCGGTTTTATCATCATCATACTCAGTTTTATAATCATTATACTCGGTTTTATCATCATCATATTCAATATATTACGATAGGAATATTGTATGAACCTTTTTTTTCTAAACTAACATTCTCTATTAGTACTTATTTGTATAAAATGATGAGCGAAGTAGACTGCTGATTTCATTAATTTCTTTGTTATTATTATAATAATTTTGATTTCAATATATCATTATCATTATTTTAAATTAATTTCATTCTATTGATTATTGTCATTATAGATGTTATTTGATTGAATAAAAGCAGTTTTCCCATAATTAGGCAGAATCAAAGTTAGGGCCAGTGGATGTGTTAATCAATTCAGCTGGCTTTTCTGTGGCCGGCTCCTTGGAAGATTTACACGTTGATCAGTTCAAGGTCGTTGCATTTGAATTATGAATATTTAAAAAAATTATGTATATCATAATTATTTATAATATTATCATACTTTGTTAATCATATTAACTGTTGTTGCTTAGTACAATTTTGTTGCTGTTGTTGATTTTCAACCTATTCTCATGGGCTGTTCATTTTTTCACGCCGGCCAATAGAAACTCATGGATTTAAACTACCTGGGCAGCGTCCACTGTACGAAGGCTGTGATTGGTCAAATGAAGGCCAGAAGAAGAGGTCGCATTGTACTAATTTCATCTCAGGCTGGCCAGGTGGGATTGTACGGGTATTCTGCCTACAGTGGCTCCAAGTTTGCTCTGAGGGGATTCGCCGAGTCATTACAAATGGAGGTGATGATGATGATTATAGATGTTGTTTTGATGATGATGAGAATGGTTGTGATGGTGATGATGACGGGTGTGATGGTTGTTATCATGATGAAGGTGATAGGATGGTTATGACGACGACGACGATGATGTGATGATGACGATGGTTCTGGTGACATATTCCAGGTGCTTCCGTACAATGTTCACGTCTGTTTGGCCTTCCCTCCAGACACAAAAACGCCTGGCTACGATGAGGAGATGAAGAATAAGGTGATGATAATGATGAGGGTGATGAAAATGATGATGAGGATTTTTTGTTATTTCCATTACTTTTACTGTTGTAATATTTGACTTCATCATTAAAGCTGTATCATACATCGTGCTTGTGTGTGTGTGTGTGTGTGTGTGTGTGTGTGTGTGTGTGTGTGTGTGTGTGTGTGTGTGTGACCGTTTTTCATAGATATCATTTATCATATCATTAATTGTCATCATCGACATCTTCATCTTCTACATCAACATCCTTAGCCTCTCGAGACCAAGTTGATATCAGAGAGCTCTGGTCTGCATGACTCTTCAGATGTTGCCAAAAAAATTATTCAAGGAATTGTGGTGGGTTTGTTTCTTTGTTTCTTTGTTTGTATGTTTGTGTGTGTGTATGTGTGTGTGTGTGTTTTGTATGTCTGTGTGTTTTAAGAAAACTTGAGTAGACAAAATATTTTTATGCACAATGATAATAATGATAACACAAATGATAAAATCGTTGGTGATGACGCCGAACAACAGGTTGATGATGGATGGAGATGATGATGGTGGTGATGACGACGACGACGGTGATGATAATGATGAATATATGGCGCTGATGATGATGACGATGACGATGATGATGATGATGACTAGACTTTTTTTATTGCTTTTCCATTAGGATGGTACCTTCAGCATATATATCGGCTTGGAAGGTTTCTTTATGAACCATTTAACTGCCGGCTTCTCCCCGACAACTAATCTAACTGACACCTTCATTCAGGTGCCTAGTTTGTTTGCTTGTTTGTTTGTATGTTTTTGTATATGATATTTGTTTGTTTGTTGTTGCATGCATGCATGCATGTTTGTTTGCGGGCATTTTTTGTATGTTTGTCTGTGTAGTTTGTGTGTATGTTCTTGTATGTTTGTTTGTATGTATGTTGTTGTGTTTTTGTTTGTTTGTTTGTTTGCGGGTGAGGTTCGTGTGGGCGTTTATGTGTGTTTGTTCAGCTCTTTACATGTGTCTTTCGTTTGTTTGGCCATTTATGGCCATCCGTTTTAATGATTGTGTAAACTAACATTCTCATCTATTATCTTTTATGGAATTTTTATTAAATTTTTACCGTTAATAGTAATAATAATAATAAATAATAATAATTATAATAACCGTTAATAGTAATAATAATAATAAATAATAATAATAATTATTATTATTATGAATAATTATAATAATAAATACAAATAATTATAATAATTATTTTCAGGTATTTAGCATGGGTCTGCTTAGAATGGTTAGTGTCATCTACTTGAGCACGTTCAACAAAATTGTCCGCAACTGTGCCGTTAACAAGAAATTACTCTAATAATAATTATAGTTATTATTATTATTTATAATTATTATTGTTATTTATTATGATAACTGTTGTTTTTATTGTTGTTGTTCATTCTGTTTTAAGTTTTTTAGTGTTGATGTAATAAAGGAATTGGTGGTTTTTTTTTAAACCGGATGATGTTAGCTTCAATTTATAGTAATAATAATTATGGTATTAATTATTAATAATTAATTATCATAATAATAATAATTAAAATTGTTGTTGTTATTATTAATATCATATTAATGGCCAATTAAAATTAATGATTGTTAATGACGTTTTGGAAACCGTCAAGATGGGCACGCTCTGGTTTGATATGTTGAGGAGTGAAAGATGTTCTTGTTTGTTTGTGTTTGTTTTATTTGCTTGTTTGTGTCTGTTTGTTTGTTTGTTTGTTTGTATGTTCGTATGAATGTTTAAAAATGCTAACAGGCAAATGTTTGTTTGCCTAAAAACATGTTTGCGGGAGCTGTCGAATAGTTTAAAAACGAATAATGTATACGTGTACGTGTGTATGTGTAATTGTGTATGTATATTTGTGTGTGTGCGTGTGTGCGTATGA